CTCTGCTGTTGTCCACACACTTGCGCTATGCTGTTGTCCACACACTTGCGCGCGCCCACACACACACACTCACTCTCTAGTGTTGCTATAGTTACATTGTGATTTCACACACACTAGTGTTGCTATAGTTACATTGTGATTTCTTAGTACCGTACTGACCTGAATATAGGACCACCCTGATTATAAGATGCCCCCCTTTTCCAAGACCAATCTTCAGGAAAAAAAAATCACTTTTTAAATAAGACTATTTTTATTATAATTTTAGAACAAATGCTGAGCAAAAATACTATTTTTATGCAAACTATAAGAAATTTGCTGACATGTGAAATCAAAAGTCAAATCGGGCTTTTATTCAGACGCCCTCTGCCTCACTGTACTCACTCTCATGCTGCTGCGGTCCCGGTGTACCATCAGATCGCTACACCTGCCGACTCCTCCAAAACGTCATCCTCACTGCCATCCAAGGCATCCATGTATGCAATGTTTGACGCCTCTGCTGAATTGACCACAGTCATCTTAAAACTTGCATAACCCTGCCATACTATATTAACTTGCCCCACTTTCGGTCCACTCTGCTAAGGATCTCTCGTCTCCATTTTTTTCTCCTGTTGAGAACTTACAGGATGGCGCCCTCTGCTGTTACAGATATGTAATGTTAGACTCAGATTATAAGATGACCCCACATTTTAACATTATTTTCAATGAAAACAACCTCCTCTTATATTCGGGTCAATACGGTATTCTATTAAGTAAGAGATAAACTTTATTGTATTTATCCTAGTGAATCTATATTTAAACAGGTAAACTAGTAGTAGCACATTCAATGTCAAAGAGAGTAAAATGTTATTATCAGGAGAGGGAGAACTTTAAGTAGTTAGCAGCAGTGTCCTTGCTGATGGCCCCCCTCCATGAGAACACCTGCAGCATGACAGCAAAGCCTGTCGCCGCAGCGCCACACAGTCGGGCATTATTGTGAACTCCATTATTGTGAGTTGGGTTTTGGAAGTGTGACAACAGGAACAAGCTTACTTGCCAAAAGCAGACAAGCCGACGAGGCCACTTGAAGCTGCTGTACGGTGACATCATAGCGGTCCATGAAGAGATCCAACAGATAAACAGCCAGGTGTCTCGCTGCGGGGCAAAACCGGAAGTGGTTGCTGATGACGGCTATGAGGTCAGCAAAGTATCGTCTGAAGCGGAGCTGAGGGGACTGACCTTTGTAGGACGGCAGCTTGAGTTCCTGTTAGACAACACCAAGATCTCCAGATCAGACACATATTTCTGATGCACCGAAAATATAAAAGAACTCAAAAAACTATCAGAGAAATCAGGACCAGCAAGTCAGAACTGTTCAAGAACTCAAAATAAGTAATAGCCCTCCAGAGAAGGACCAGTGTGAAGATCATTTAGAAACAACTTTTAAAAAAAAAGTCGGGACAGGAGTAATGTAAAAAGCTCTTTGGATGACCTGTTTGGAGAAAGAGTTCAGTTCTCACAAGGCTGAAAAACATTTAGGGCTTTCACATCTAGGTCACCATGGCCAAGCCCTGGTAGGTTAATTGTGTTCATGTGGCATCTGGGTAATCTGTGGTCAGCTTCATGCCGAGTCGACCCAAGTTCACCTCTACCTGCTAGTGGGATCCTATGATTGGCAGGTTGAATCAGCCAGTGGCGGTTTTCCACGTGTGATTCATCAGTCTGGACGCAGTAAACATCAAGTCTGACTGCTGTTAGGAATCACCACTACAGCCGTGGCAGTGCTAGGACACACTGCTGTGAGGAGCACACAGCAGACTCAGTGAAACCGTAGGAAGCTGTGTGCTTCAGAGTCTCCAAAAGCAACACTGCTCACGGCTGCTAGTTTACTAACTTAAGAAGAACACAACAAACTTGCCCCGCTCACATCCTAGGAGACATCCACATTCCTGAGAAGGCTGTGTTAACCACAGACATCAAGGTGTAAACAAAACCTGGCTGTGCGGGGGTGGGCCGACCCAACCAAGACTGGGCCAGATGTGAAAATGCCAATTCTACAGATGGGAACAGCAGAAATGAGTCAAAGATCTTCTGCCAAATGAATCATTTAATGTGAAATTACTGGCTAAATAAAAAAACAGGGCTTTAAACACTTTTGTTCCCATTCAAATTCAAGCACTTTCAAAGTGGTGATGATTTACACACAATATGATACATACATGCTTTTTTTCCATTTTCATGTATGCTAAATGTAAATGTTCTACAATAACCAGTTTCAGGCAGAATGTAAAGAACCGTGGTTAGTCAGTTGCAGAACCAAGCCACTAACACACACAAGGCTCATTTTGGAGGCGAGAAGCTTCAGTTATCGTTCAGAACCGGTGGCTCATGAGGTGCCTTGCTAATCCTACCCAACTTGCTCTGGAGGAACGGCTGCTTTTATACACGCGCGCAGATAGGGTGGGGGACAGGGGGATCTGTCCCCCCCAGATTCAGATCGACCCCGATCCGTCCCCCCAACTAAGGCCAGAAAGAAAACAAAATTGGAGGTTTAGCGCTTGAAGCTCCTTTTTCCAATTACAGTGAATGCAGCATGACGTAAACAAACCCCGACTCCAGAGGCGCCAAAGTGGTTGCTGCTAGGACGCAGGAATGGATGAAGCGAAAAAGGCAAGCAACGATTACTGCGTATTTAAAAAAGACCAACAGTGTAAGTAGGCGGGACCGATCTGTCTGTTTATGCATGTTGGTTTTAGATTCAGTACGTTGTTGTCAGTGTTGGGACTTACTCGTTATAAGCACCAAAGCCTCATTGCTGACTTTAACAAGTCTCATCTACAAATATGATCCATCATGAAGTTACTGCTTTACACCAGAAGATAGTGGAGATGTGGAACCTTCAGGCTGAGCAAAGTTTGGGAGTTTTTAGAGTTTGAAAATGCCTCCCGCCTAGAGACTCCCAGTCGGGGAGAGGAGGAGATGCGTGCAGCATGAAGAGCGCAAATATTAGATAAAACCATATTTATATGTCGATGGATAAAACGTATAATTGCCGGCAGATCTGGTCTTTGTTGACTGATCACTTTGGTCATGACTGACTCTGATTATGAAGCAGAATATTGACTCTGATGAAGAAATTCACTCATCCAGCCGGGAAGATTGATGCTGCTGCTGCACGAGAGGTGTGTGGAGTTTACAAGCTCCAAACGATGGGTTTGATGTTGGTTTAACCTTCTTTGGGACGTGATGGATGTAGAAACTAAGGTAAAACAACGCAAACGTGACAGACGTAGCGACAATGTAAAAAAAAAAAAAAGCCGTAAAAAAGAGGCAGATGCCGATGCGTTACATATGGAAGTCAAGTGTGCCACAATCATAAAAAAAGTAAAATGTAAAATTTAAAAAGAGATTTATATATTTATATATAAATAAAAACTTTCCAAATATAACGAAAATTTATAAATAACGTAAAAATACGAAGGAACATCTGTTGGTCAGGCTGAAAAGTTTGGGAACTACTGGATGAATGATGCACTGTAGTGTAAAGCACTTTGGAGTCCTTACTCTGAGAGGCGCTATACAAGTGTGGATCATTTATTATTTATAGTGTTGATCAGGCAGAGATTTGTTGCCAGCGTTCCACTGCATAATGGCTTCAAACACGTTTATAAAAGTGTTAGTTTTAACGTAAACCATTGGAGGAAATTACACAAACTGACTGAGCTCTAGTTAAGGCGCTTGCAATAGTTTGTGTGTGTGTACGTGCATGTGTGTGTGTGTGTGTGTGTGTGTGTGTGTGTACGTGTGTGTGTGTGTACGTGCATGTGTGTGTGTGCGTGCATGTGTGTGTGTGTGTGTACGTGTGTGTGTGTGTGTGTGTGTGCGTGCGTTTGGGGGAGGGTACATTGGAACGTTGTCCCCCCCAGTTTGAAAATCCAATCTGCGCCCCTGCCTTTATAGGCCCCAGCAGCTGTATAGTTGACACAATACGGTAATGGCTAATGTCACAAGGTACCACTTAGTCATTGCTGGTTTAAATTTAATAGTGAGCAGAGTTTTAGCCTGAAGAGGGTAATAAACTGGCGGTTTTAGGCAGAATTTTTATTTTTATTTTAATTGTAAATAAGATGCACTAAATGCCAAATTAATGACTACATACACCGACTGTCCACTTATTGGGTACACCTTGCTGACAAGCAGACATTGGCGGTGCTCTGAGGAAGGCTACAGTGCTAGCCAAAACTTGTCAGCTTAAAAGGCAAGAACAAATCTTTACTAAGCTGTGCTTAGAAAAGAACCAAGCAATGGAATTTACCAGATCACACAGAAAAAATCATATGTGTTGAATGAACAAGATGTTTAAATCAAATGTTTGAATAATCTGTGCTTTAATCAATGTCTACGCTCATACACATTGTAATAAGATAACTATTAATGTAGTAGCTGAAGGAAGGCGGGACATCTCAGAAATCTTTTGATAAAGCCCTCAAACGTGTCAAATTCTGATTTGCAAATTTATCAACAATGTGGTTTTAATAAAACAAGAATTACTTCCCGATTAATTCAGTTTCCAGCTGACTCCTGATTCAGTCAAATTGGGGAAGAATCCTTGTTGAAACCATCTTCTCTTTGACCTTAAGTCAAAAGCCTCTGCAACGCTGCGAGTAATTATAGATGTCACAGCTCTTTTCAGAGGTACTTCACACCTGAGATATCTGACCTGCAGTCCCCGGGTTGCATCCCATGGCCAGTGAATCTGAACTCAAAGGGAGCTACTAATCTTTGAGTCCTGTCGTCTCAACATCTGGTGACTCACCCAGGGTATATACAGGAATCTCAAAATTAAATTTAAGACTTTTTCCAAGAATTTTTAAGACATTGTAAAAATAAAATTAAGACTATCACAAAGAACTAATCAACTGTTACACACTTATATATTGTTTTTAAATACTGCATTGCTTTGTTTTCCACTTCATGTTGGGTTACGTCACATCCGGGACAACGGGGCTGTAGCCATAACACGAAAAGCCACGTGATACAACTGCGCGCATAGAAGAAGAAAAATATACATTTTTAGTTTACATTAATCTATTTTTCATAGCCACAAACTCAGAGGCTGTGAAAAAAGTGACAACTAAAATAACTCCCCCCAAACAAGGTCCTCACATGCTGCTGATGTGCATCTATTCTACAGTGGGTTTTGTAGTGACCTCTGACATTTATATACTTTTATTTTATTGAGAATATTTAAAAAAAAAATTATGTGATGTTTTTGCAAAATACAAGCAATTTTCTACCAGTCCTACTGTTCAAGAGAGCTAAATATAATAAACTGACAGACCTGATCAGATAACGATTAGGGATCATCATATAATAATTAACTATTATTATGAAACTAATTCACAAAACAACAAACATAAAAACATCTGAAAATATTCCAAATTACTGTAATCATTCTTAAGTAGGATGACCAGATCCCAACTCACCAAATGTGGGACAGAGACTGCTCACTGTGGGACGTGAAACTTTAGTGTAACCAGGTAGTTAAAATGCTGTTTATTAATCTATTCTGCCTTTTATCTCTAACATGACTGTTAAATATACATACAATGATTATATAATTGATGTCTTACATGTTCTATTTGAATTAAACTGGAACAAGCAAACAGCAAAAGCTTTAATGCCGTTTCTCAGTTCCTCTCCAGTTACCACAGCTTAACTCAGGCTGGACTTTCTACAGTGGCTCAGAGTAACTTTAGCTACAGTTACTTTAAACAATCAACTGATTTTATAACTATAGACATGCCCGCCATAAAATAATGAAGGTTTAAGAACTTTTTAAAGTTTTCACTGAATATTTCTGCTGACTTTCCACAACAGAATGGTAGTAAAAGCACCAGTAACATATTTAGATCCGTTTGTTTATTTTCCACTAATAACATCTCACTGAAAACAGATCAATGCTGTTTTGCAAGTTTTTCTTCTTCTTGATTTCAAATCTCTTATATAACATGTAGGGAAGATATGCCTAAAGGGTTTAGCCTGTATGCACCTGAAACAACAACCGCAGTACCTTGTCTGTCAGAATATTCTTTAGGTGAGGATGGACCTGTCCAATTACTGGAAAAGCGGTTTTTGACCAACACTTGAACTCAACTTCACCCCTTCCCCAAAGGAACACAAGCCTCGGGAAACATCAGTTAAGGCTGAAACTGAAAGGAGACAAACCTGCTAAAGTTCTAGACAGAAAACTGACGTATCTGG